TCCACATTAGGTGATCTTTTCATGAAAAAAAAAAAAAAAAAAAGTCTTATATGGTTTTTGAAAAGGAATTGGGCATTTATATTCCTTAGAAGTATTTGAAAATTTTATCCTGGTTCACACTGTGACTCAGTTCTCCATCTGTAGAGTAGAATCAATTCCTTCCTGTAGTTTAATTTGTAATTTACATTCTGCTATCAGTGGTCTGTTAGTAAGGGCTCAGATCATTTGCATAGCGACATTTCATAGTGGTAAGGGTGTTTGGAAGGAAAATGTAATTTTTCTGAGTATAATGGAGTTTTAAAAAATGTGTTGGATTTGTCTCTGCAGTAACAACCTTAGCATTGAAGAATTTTTTATGGAAGTGAATGATAATTCAGTCATCTAATACAACAAATTCTGAAGTGTCCATGCGACCTGTGTGTATACAATTTCAAAATGCATTCACATTGACAGTTCACAGAATCCTGATTGTAATACATATTAATGGAATTTGGCTTCACTTTCTAAGCAAGATGCATACACAAACTAGATTTTTTTTGTAGTGTCTAAAGCACTATTCCTAAAAAAAGTGCACTGAAAAAGGCACCATATAAGTGCACATCTCACTTTATTCAAAGTTGCAGGCTATAGTTGGACTTCAGTAATAGTAATAGCTTAATAGCAAAACACCTTAAGATAAAAACCTGATAGATGAACTGTATCAATCTACACCTTTATCAAATACTTGGTGCTTAAAGTAGTAATGGTAATTTAATAATGAATAAGACTGCAATGTATATTTTTATTATATATACCATATGTGACTTTTTGGAAGGTTATGAGATCTGATTCAAGCCATTTTGAAGTTTATGGAGAGATTTTTAAGTGTACTTAAGTGCAAAAAAAAACAAAAACAAAAACAAAAAAACCCCTGAAGACTATAGGGAAAGGGTTATCTTGTCTTACTGTAGCAAGTGACAAGCATTAAGGTTTCCCATGGTACAGTTCTTGCTCACTTTGCCTTCGCCTTCATTTCTCCCCACAATACACAGCCCTTCCGCCAATATCACCAACCAATTTGAATTTTAAAGAGAAAAATGTGAAAATAGTGCTGCAAAGTACTTTCTCATTGAAACTGACTGCTAAGAGGTCATTCTAAAGCCTCTTAGTTCTAAGTGCGATACTGACAATTATAAAAATGGGGGGTTTATGCATAAGTTTTTGAGTGAAAAGCTATCTTTCTATTACTGTTAACATTTCACTTTTTGCAGCTAGAAAATTTTCTTTCAATTCTGTAGGAGAGTTTCCAATGTAAGAACTTGAGGCTTCCATAGTTCCTCTGAGAGATAATGTGCATTTGTTTGATGTACTGCAGTTTTCAATATAAAATTTCAACTGGACTTAAAAATGGGATTTTTCACCTCTGAAAAGTACATTATTACAAAGTTACCATACAATAAAAAATGAACATTGCAAAAATGGGCTGTCAGTGAATGATAACTTCATATCCAGTCTCTGTAATATAGGTGTCTTGTTTTGTAATTTCCTTCAGCCAGGATAAAATTCTAACCCCTTAGAAGAAGAAAAAAAAAAAAAAAAAAAAAAAAAGAAAGGAAGAAGGAAAGATCCTGCAAACCCCCAAATGAGAGAAAGATGAATGGATCATGCACAGTATCTAATCAGATAAAACTAATGCACAGATATGAATGAAGCTGTCAAGCTCTATTCACTGTCCTGAAGGACTGAAGTATACATTGTCCATTTAACCTTCAACACTGATGTAGTGATATGTAGTCTCCTAACTTAGTATTCCACTATTGGAATCTCATGCTTTTGTTATAGAAGGAAATAATAACAGCATAATCCAAATGCCAGTTAAGTAGTGCTCTCTGTGTAACAGACATCAGTGATAATCAGATAACAAGAAATAAAAAAAATGAAATAATTTTTTCAGCCTTTCATTAGTGTCTGTAGTATGTACTTCATTATATTACCTGTGAATTGTTGAAACATTTCCATCAGGTCAAGAACACTTGCATACTAATCATATTTTAGAGGTTTTGTTTGTTTTCCCAGATTATATTCTACCTCAAAACCTGATAACTGTGTATTCACCACAGGATCTGAGGATGTGTATCTTATAGTAACGGACTGAAGATGATGACTGTAGCTTTTGTAAACATTGTCACACCCCACAGGAGACAGACTCTGCTATGAAGAAATAAAATTAAACAGTATTCCTGCCCCTGTGTAACACATATAGCAAAACCAGGACAGATGTTGTAAAACCCCTTTGCCAATCCATATTACCCCTCTTCTAAACACCAGCTGTTCCCCACTGTTCTATGTACACACATTAGATTATTTATTTATTTATTTGTTATTAATGAGGACCCTTGTATCCTTTGGGAACTATCAGCAGTACTAAGATTTCTGAGGGAATCCTAGGGCAGGATTCATGTTGCTGAAAGCAGATGTTTATTTCTTCCAGTCACTGAGACTCTCTTACCAGTGGCTGGTGAAAAACAGACATTCTTAAGTAAACCAGCTGATTTCTTCCCTAGATGAGTTTTGCTACAAATACAGTAAGCACCATACAGTGTTTTTCTTGGATGTATATGGCTAAGTTAGAGAAGGTGAAACCTGCTTTTAATAAACAAGCCTGTTTAGAATATGTATCTACACCATCATTAGTTTTGCATCCTACTCTATGAGTAAACACCTTTCTTTCTAGTAAAAGTGGTCTTTGTAATCCCCTACTAGTCTAACACTCCTGCAATCCAGTCAAATAAAGAAAGATCTTTTTCTACGCTACAGGGATGAAATATGATGTTTTTAAAGTGCACATTAGCCCTTGTGATAAACATTCCCATGGAAAATACGTTTTTATTATTTAAATTATTAAAGTTCTAATTTGGTCATCTTTAATCGATATATAAAAATGGGAATGTCTTAAAACATTATTTAAATTATTTTTCTTCATTATTGTACTTAGTCTATTCAAATTAAAATGTATAGAATTTGTCCAATTACATATATTGTGCTCTATGCACTTTCTCTAATAAATCATAATTTTATTTTTTTTCTTAGGATGACTGTGATGTTGACATTAGTATATCATAAGAAGCTATCTTGTCTGCAATCTCATGATATATTTCTTTGTGTTTGATTAAGTATCGCTGTAATCTTAATCATCCAGTTTCAACAGATATAATTGATTAATGAGAATGAATTAGCATTCCCTTCTCTGATACATATTTTTGTACATTGTCATTGAAAATGTACTGCTCACTAAAGAAAATGAGAAATCTTAAGATATTTGTGTGCTTGGTTGACTTCTCCTTAACCTTGCTGCTCATGTTCTCATATCAGTTGCTTAATTTTTACCACCTTACAATATAGTTTGAGACATTAGTCGTCATCCTAACACCACATTACATTTGCATAATTGCTGTGAGGTTTGTTTCATAGCACATGTATTGTATTTTAAATATAACACCAAAATTAAATATATATATATTTTTAAATCAATTTAGCTTGCTTTAGTAATAAATACTGACCAGTTGTACCCAGGATAGTGACCAGTATCCAGACAACCTTTCTTTTACGGCATATCTGTGTTTGCAGAGCTGTGGATTCTACAGCTCTGATTCAGTGCAGGAAGTAAACACCTGTATAACATGAGGATTGCATGTATTCCTGTTCAGAGAAGCCTTGTACTGCCACAGAGAGTATAAAAATTCAGTGCCTTTCTAAGTGTGATGTGTTGCAATTCATTTCTCATTTTTAAATCTAGACTGTTTACAGCTGTTTTGTAATGTCAGTATAATTGCTGACTTTAAGATGCTCATTTGGGATTTATCCTACTGTAACTCAGTGGAGAACTTAGACCCTTGCATTTATAGGTCAACAGATGTGTGTTTTACCTCCGCTGCTCCTATGAGTAAGTACAGGAACATTTTGCAGATGCTGTCAGATTATTGTGCAAGCACATTTCAGATCCCTATGATGTATTCAGAATCAGAACTGTGGAAAACCTTTTAAATCTGTTTTATACACTTGGAATTATAGTTTCAAAAGTCAGTTGAGTAACCAGACTGCAGTTTTAGAAATGTTTGAGTCTTTTGTTGCTGTTCTTAATGATTAAACTTGCAAAGGTATAGTTAGCCAGTCATTTCATACAAGCTGAGAAACTAAGACTATAAATACAGGGTAAATGGTGCTAATTTAAAATAATGCTTTCTTTCAATAATTGTCTGTGAAGTAAGATGCTTTACTATTGTGGGGGGTGTAATTTTTAATTTTAATGCAGTATTTATTCCAAAAGAAACTATACTTTCATCAACGGAAATTAAAGCAGAATGAAAGTGGAAAAAAATAATGTGCATTTTGTTTAATAAGCAAAGCAAAACATAAAAAAATAAAACAATCTCCAGGCTGCAACTCCGTATGAAATATTGTCATAGAAACAATGTAGGATAGCCAATTGCCACATTTTCTACACAAATTTATACAGAGCTTGGAGTAATTGATTAGTCAATCCCAATGCTATGCAAACCCCACCCCTCTAGTTTTCTGAATGAGATGTTTTCACCAGTGAACATTATGCTGAATTCTTATATCTGGGTAGTATGGCACATTTTATTTTACATTACCTTAGATAAAACATGAATAAGACAAAAAGAAGTATTCATTCACAATGGTGAAATATTAGGAGAGAATTCGGTCCTCACAGAAGTCATAGAAAGTTTTGTCATTAACTCAGAGAATTCTTGTTTCATTCAGAGAGTAAATTTACCTTTAAAGTCATTGGGGAATATTCACTAGAGAGACACTGCAAATAGCATTTTGAGAAACAGCTAAAAAATTTGTCATCAACCATGCTCTGCCAATCAAAAGTGCTGGTTGCATACAAATGGCAAAGTTCATTTTGTACTTGCTGATGCTTGTAAGTGAAACAATTTTACAGCAACATCACTGGATAATAAAATTTCCTAATAACTTTACCTGTATAGGAACTGGATTTTGAAGCTAAGACAAGCTATACCCTGAGGATAGAAGCAACCAATATGCATGTTGACCCTCGTTTCCTGAGCCTGGGACCCTTCAGTGACATGACAACAGTGAAGATAATTGTTGAAGATGTTGATGAGCCACCTGTGTTTACTTCACGTTTGTACTCCATGGTGGTTTCTGAAGCAGCAAAAGTCGGCACTATCATTGGAACTGTAGCGGCCCATGATCCAGATGCCTCAAATAGTCCTGTCAGGTAATTAAAAGTTGTCTTAATTGTTTATTTATTTAGCCTTTATATTGAAGTTGTTCATTTTGTTATGGAAGCATGTTTGGTTGCACTGAAAGCAATTAGTCAGCTTTTTGTCTTTGCAGAGGGAGAATGAGATGTTCTAAGAGTTTGCATATTTTGACTTTTATACTCCTGAACTACAGAACATTTGATAAAATAATATTTTTAAATCTCTGTAAAATAAAAAGAGAGAAGAGAAGATATAATTTCAGGATTCCAATGCAAAAAAACCTCAACAGATTACTCATATTTATTTCTCTCTAAGTTTAGGAAGACTCTATTATTCTCTATAAAACATGATGCTTTCTTAAATCAACCAGGACCAATATATATATATGCATGAAAAATATGCATACGTGTATATATATATGTATATATATTTTTTTTGAAAATATACATATATTTGAGTGTCTGTGTGTGTGCGTTCATAATGATTCATATTCTGCATGCACTATGCACAAGAATACAATAGCACATAGACTCTTGCATGGTAAACCAGAGCTGAGGTTACACAGAAAAAAAAAAAGAAAAAAAAAAGAAAAAAAACCCAAAACAAAACAAAAACCCCACAAAAAAACCCAAAACAAACAAACAAAAAAAAACCACACAAAACCCCAAACATTAGAAAAAACTCTTTACCTGAGAGAAGTGGGTAGGACAAGACATATCCTGTCCTAGTCAGGATGACTAAAGGCAATAATCTTTTGGCTTTTGTAAATTCTGCTGCAGCCAAATATCTCCCATTTGAATAGGAAGAGATATGAATGCTAGAGACACATGAAAACTGTCAAAGTCCTCTTCCTTTGTCTTCAGTGTGTGAAGAACCTGCAAGTGTTCCACAATCTAATGTCCAGGATCATAAAGAAACCATAAGAAAACACAAAATATTGATCTGTTTGACTGTATCTAAGGTCAAAGTTCAAGGACAAAGACTCACCACCTAAGTGAAACCAGTAGTTTCTTATTAGTTTTCTTATGCAGAGTAATATTTTAATTGTCAAAGGAACATGCAAAGATTCTAGAGGATAATTCTTCTGACTCAGGAATTTTGTGAGCTTAAACATCTGCAGGAGAAAGAACACAAATTTAGTACTAAGTTTCATTTGTTTTTGCTGTTTATTTAGAGCATACATAGAAAAGAACTTCACAGGTATACAACTCATTTGGATGTCATCTTTTTTAGTGATGTTAAATTTTTGCCTTCAAGCATTGGGACCCTAGCACAGTTCTGTAATTTCTAAAACAGCAGTCTAAAGTTGTAAAAATAAAGCCTATGTTTCACTCCTAGAGGTGACGTAAGGGTTCTTTCTCTCTTGCGTTATGTATTTGCAACATATTCAAAATAACTGCTTCCTATCAGGTATGAACAAGTCCTGTATGGATGGTTGGCATGGATTACATGTGAAATTTATCTTTGCTGAGCTCTTTCTTTGCTGTGGCAATGTTTTCTGGCACTGATGTTAGTATCTGGTGTATAAGATCTGGTTTAGTAGAATCATGTAGAGTAGGATTAAATCCAGTTCTGTAAATGCAGTCCATGCTCAGAATGCTTTTGACTCCTATGTAAACATAAGGATGAGTTTATTGACCTTGATCGAATTAATTTTTAGAATTCCAGAACAAAAAAAAAAAAAGTTATATCAGCAGCTTAACTAACATCTTAAGATTTCTTCTGCTTCAAAGTTGTTTGGAATTTGAGAGGGAAGAAAAAGAAAAATAGTGAGGGTTTATCTATATTCTTGTGAACCTGCTATGTACATTATCAGGGGTACTGACAGATCATATAATTTAAAGGTTTCCTGCATCTGCTGTGATAGACATCAGAGCTGGATTCACCTAAAATTGAAATGTGTTAAGAAAGATTAATGCATAATACTTTTCATGATCTGTTTAAGAAGTTTAAATTATTAATCTATAGATAAGTATTCCAAATTCTATTCTATTGATATTAATTACATATTAGATTTTTTAGAATTCAGAAAATGTTGAAATTACAAGAACAGACACAATTAAAAACTTGACAATACTGAGGGGGAAGTAATAAATATTTTTAAAATAAGAGATTATCTCATATGGACCAGAGAACTACTGATGTTTGAACTAGCTTAAATAAAGGATTTAAAAGTCCTGCAGCTCAAAGATTTTCAAGTATTAATGGCTGAAAGGAATTAAAAGATTAAAAGTATTTAAAATATTTTTTTTAGAATTTGAATGTGAATACAATGCTTGTAAATAATTTCAGAGAAACTGTTTGCTTCCTATGCAAAACATTTGTTTCTTCTTGTTTCATGAGAATCTACTGTCCAATTTATAAAATGTTTGCTTTCCCTCCCTTTCTCCTTTCCTTTCTCCTTTCCTTTCTCCTTTCCTTTCTCCTTTCCTTTCTCCCTTCCTTTCTCCTTTCCTTTCTCCCTTCCCTTCCCTTCCCCTCACCATCTTATTT